TAAAAGTTCCATGTGCTCGGGTCATAAATTTCTTTTTACTGGATTCCCACTTTCACTAAATTTAATTTAGAATCATATTACATTTCATATGTAATTTTTTTACTTACGTAATTCAATTTCAATTACTTCGATTTCTTCTGCCAATCCAAGAGCCAAAACCGCAGTGAAAAAAATTGCTAGACGATTCATTTTGTATCTGAAAAAAATAAAAGATAATATAATTTATTAATAGAACCAAAATATAATAGTTATGTATATAAAAGCAAACTTATATTGTGGCCATTTAAAATTATTTGTTTGTAATTTCTTAATTTTTTAAATTCAATCCGATAGAAAAAATTAGCGTAAGTATGATGTCGGGCTTTGTCCTATATAGATTATATATTATGAAAATATTAGAAATTGAAAGTTTTATAAATATTACTACAACTTTAATTTCAAATTACTAAAATTATCTAAATTGCGTCAATGCACAATTATTTTAGGACTATACTTGGATCACGCAAGAAGACTTTGTTGGGAAACTTTTACATTATTTTCCGACAAAACAATATAATTATTGTCATTATTTATATTGCATAAGTAACCAAGTGTTTTTTAACAATGTTTCGGTATTAAAATTAGATAATTCATATTTTATTTGTTTTTGTTCTCGATATTTGCAACCTGCATATCCAGAAAACTTTCTAAATACTAGACGAACTGGATGGCGGTTTTAGATTATGCAATCTTATAATTGTCGACGATGGTAAAAATATGAAAATTATAAAATAAAATGCTCATTTGTTAAAAAATATAGTAATTCAACTTATCATAACACTGCAAAAATTTTTTTGTACAAAGTTTGTTATAAAATATGAAGCTGTTTCATGTGTTTTTGATCATTGATTTTTTTAAATAAATAAATAAGATAAAACTAGTTTTATATATATTCGTCGCGAGAATAAAACGATAATAAATTTAAAAATTCAAAAACGTCTTTAATCGAAGGTCTTTTATAAATGACGCGCTTTGTCGATTTATATATAAATTATCATAAAATATAACTCATTTTCTAAAAGCTATTGAAAAACTTGTTTTAATGATCTTCATGAAAAACTAGTTAATTAGTTTAGCTGTTAGTCCTTGGTTTATTTAAATACGCACATATTAATATGATATATGCAAGATCTCTGAAATTATATATAAATATATAAATATATAATATATCAAGTTTTATAATGATGTTTTTTAAATTATAGTTAATTCATATTTTTTTTATTATTTATATATAAATGAACTTTTTGCAAACAACTCTTGTAGTCAACAATGCCGAAATATTAATAATACATTTTGTTTCTGGAGAACCACAAGGGCCTGTTTTTATCATTTTACCATTCAAATGTTTAGAAATCATTTTTCATCTATACATCATGTACAAAATTTAAATTTGGTCTGTAAAAAGGCCGCAAAAACGATGAAGATTTTTTTAGTATTTTAAAGATGTTTCTCGATGTCCTTACAAAATTCTACGTCATCTTTCTTCAATTTAAGATGACATTGACAAACCGAGAAATATATTTAAATTCAATATCCGCAGTTAATGAAAAAATATATTAATCCATTACTGTAAGACCTGTAAATTATTTTTACCGCGGTTATCTTATATCAAAGAATTATGTAATAATTCTTAATCGAATCGATTTGTACATGTGCAATTAGCTGCACCTGCAATCGATTGCGGAAATGCATTTTCTAATTTATCCATATTTCTAAATTCTACTGCGATTGGAATTACTAATGTTAAAATATCCTTGAAGCCATTTCTGTAAACTCAAACCAATAAATACGAACTACATTATATTTATATATTAAACTTTTAGTTTAAAAATCTTAAGTAGACAGATGAACAGGTATACAGGTAAATTGGTAGAAACTTGTGGACAGGTCAATTGGAGGATATGTAAAATGGTTGACAGGAAAACTGGTAGATAGTCGAATATGTAGACATATAAACAGGTTGACAGGTAAATTGGTAGGCAGGTAAAATGGTGAACTGATAAACAGCTTGATAGGTAAATTTATAGATAGGTGATTTGATAGGCAGGTTGTATTGGACAATTGTTGATCAGGTAAATTGTTGGACAACTATAAATTGGTAGTCTTATATGTCACTTATATGTCTTTTTAATTATAATTAGCCATCCTATTTTTTCATAATTTAGTCACATTATATCTTGTTCTAGTTTCAAATTGTAGAGACACATAAGATTATATTTTGAAATATTTGAAAAAAAAATCTATAAAATATTTCTTGTTTTTTGCTTCCAAAAGTATTATGAATCCTATTTTTTTCTAATTTAAATTTCAACATAAATAATATAAAACAAAGAGAATTTTCAAAAGCCAAACATCAAATAAAAATAAAATTTTTAACTTAATTTTTTAAAGTTATTGAAATTATTAGTTTATTAATATCAATTCATGATTATTTTTATAAATGATTGTGATTCTTATAAAATAATGTGGTAGCGACTTGAAATTATAAAGTTATATATATTTAACTAATAACGTTAACTTATAAGTTAAAATTTGAAATTTGATTCCGGCTTCTCAAAAATTATATACTCGTATAATTCCAAAACAGATATAAAATCTTAAATGAAAAAGATTAAATTGCACTAAATTATATGCTTCAGATTTGACTTCAATGAAACTATTGGCTAATAAAATTATTACTCTTGTAGAAATATGGCTATTAAAATTATTTTAAAAGTTATAAACTATGATTATAAAGATGGCTTTAATTCAAAATTGAAAGTTAGTTGAATTTAGAAATGTTACAGCTGTTACCAAAATTAAATTCTTTAAATTCTGATAAAAATGAATTGTTTGGTTAAAAATTATTGTAACTAGGTACAGGTAGATTTTTCGCATTTGAATCGCTTTCCAAATGTTAAAATTAATTAAAACATAAAATTTATCTGAAACTAATATATTATCTACATATGATTTAATTTTGGAAATTATTTTGAAACTATTATTTGGAACTAGACAAAGAGAAGTATGAGTAAACCAGAATACGGAAATAAAAATAATGTTAATGATAAATCAATATGATAAAATTTTAATAAAAAATATATCAAACGTTATATGATAAGATATAATAATATTTTAATTCTCTAAGTTAAATTCTGATCAGAGAGATTAATTACATTAAATTTTACCTTTAAGTTCTACGCCAGGTGTGTCCTAAGCCCAAGATCTTGTTTATTATTTACACTTTGAATTATCAGATCTTAATAATGTTTACCTGCGTGAGTGTGTCAGACTTTATATAAACACTAACAGGTGGAAGAAGTAGAAGGGGCCCTCGTTTATGCGAAAATTGCTCAACCACAACCTGTTCTGATTCGATATATCACTCTTGGGAGACGGCCATGGCGGCCAAAAGCAGGGTTATGGTCTATTATATTTTTGTAATAAACTCTTGTTTGCTATAATATCTTCTGTACTACTTATTTTTACAAATATTTAACTATTTATATCAAATCATTTCTGCATTTACCATTAAAATATTTATACATCATCATATAACAAGGACAAAGTACAAGCTTTATCTCTACATCTATTGATGCTGTAAAAATATGTACAAATTTATATACATATCTATTTCTATTGCATAGTGGCCCGATCTTTCAAGCAATTGTTTACCTTTGCACAAATTAATTAATACTAGACTAACGTTTTAATTTCAATGGTACGCATCAGTGTATAATTAAACTTGTTTGCTAAAAATTTAATAAAATATCAGAATTATTTTTTTTGATATGAAGATTATTCAAATTTTATGCATAGTTGTTCATAAAATTAAAAGTGGTGTATAAGGAACTAATTAAATTAAAGAGGATGTCACACACATGCACACACAAATTTTTATATATGTGTGTATACATAAATATCATTTTTGTCTAATCATAAATATTTAATTTATAATAAAAATTGATAAAGCGGAACATAAATAAATACTGAAAAAAACAATTAATTTCTATCATAAACTATTTGTATACATAACTAATGTATTAGTTGCAACTGTGTGTAAAAACTAATTAGACCAGTTATTACTTAGGGGCAAGTCCCTAAGCTGGGCATTTAACCTGCGCCAATGGGTTATCTCAGGTTGCGGTGCGGAATGGGTTAGATTCCTGGGAAACCCATAAAGGGTTAAAAAAATGCGGTGAATCATAGTAACGAATGAAAAATAATTTTCTCTAAATTAAAATGCTCTTGATTATTAATTTTATTCCATTGTCTTTAATGTACCCGTAATTAACGCAAAATAAATATTTTTTTTATTTTTGCTTTTTATAACATATTTTATTCAGTTTATGATAAATAAAATAGAGAATATATTATCAATTTTTAAGTTTTTATTTTTATCGTAGTATACGTACATTTTAAATATAGTTAATATTATATATTACAATAATAAATTCATAAAATTAAATTGGTAAATTTTGAAGACATTTATAAACCAAAGTATTTATTTCAATTTAATACTTGAACATTAATTTTAAAATTGAATAAGTTATAAAGTAAATTAAGATAAGATAATAAGTATATAGTTTGTGATTAAGTATAATAGTTTTTATATATTTATATAATAATTTTATCGAGATATAATTGATAAAGGATTTTTCTTTGGATCTTAAATACTATGAAGTAAGCATTGAGGTAAATTTCAAATAGTTTTGTTATTTACAATATTTTGAAGTTGATTTAACCAAAAAATTATCTATTACCATACTCAATGATTTTTACACGTATATAACAAAATAAATATAAATACAAAATTTATATTAAGTTGTTAACATCAACATATACTTATATTAATATCTGTAAAAATTTATATATTCATAATATATTAACCACTATTCTAACATATTATATCATGTTCTAATAACTATCATTACAATCACATATTTGTTTCTAAGCATTCAGTTTGCACTATCAGTTTTTATTTAGGATTCTGGGAACAGACGTCGGAAGGGTATTTTTTCAAAAACGTAGTTCATTCCTGTTTTGATTGGGGGTCCCCAGAGGGTGCTCAATATTGGAAGCGCCTCTTTGTATAGGGAGCGCCAGTTTTGATTCATGGTCACTAGAAAAGCGTCATCTGGAAAAGAAATATAATTGTAGTAAAATAATTAAACTTAATAGTTGAATTTAGAACGATTGATAGTTTGTTTGGAAATGCAGGGATTTTATTAATGATAACTAATTTAAATGATTCTACTGCATATATAAAAATGTTTGGTTTCTGCATCTAACGATTTTAAAGCGTTTACGATTAATAAAAATCAGTGTTTTTTTTCTAAATATAATTTAATAACTTATAATATTTTTATTATTAAATTTTTTAATATTTGATATTTTGTTTAGAGAAAAACCAATTACAAAATTCACAAGTGCTTGACATGCTTGAAGCAAATCAGATGTAGTTTTTGATTGTTCTGCCAACGTTTTGCCTATATTACATTACTTTAAAGTTGAAACAATACACTAATTCAATTACACCATATTAATTATTTAGTGATTTCAAGTTTCTCTTAAACATTTTTTTTATTCAAGTTAAAAACAGTAAAAACAATGAAAGAACGTCATGATATGATGTTTTGCTTGGTAAATTCGGGTTCCGCATTAGATACCGGCATTTATGTTAGAACTAACAATCGGTTTTCATTTTCACTTTCGCATATGTATTATTATACAATCATAACATTTATCTAATTTACTGTTATTTATATGTACAGCGAAGAACAATTTTTTAATATTTTTTTTGTTGAACTGCAATCAGAACCAGAAACTATATTTAGGGACAAAGCTAGTTCTAGGATTTGAACCTTGGGTTGCCTTAATTCTAGTTGTTAAATATTGAAACTAATGCTGGTATTTTTAATTTATTTAATAATTTTTACTTTAGTATGTAGGTTCTTCAAGTTTTATCCTGAAGAAATAGATTAAAATTTTGAAATGCTCTATAGTTACTGGGTGGACTTATCAGTAAGTTCGACATCCCTATTGCATTTATCCCAAAAAATTGAATAAATCAAAACAATCAGTTCGAACAGTAAGTTCGACATCCCTATTGCATTTATCCCAAAAAATTGAATAAATCAAAACAAATTTAAATAAATCTCTTACATGAACTTCAAATTAATAGGAAAATTCTAAAATTAATATAAATAAATAATTAACTCGAATTTTTTTGACTCCAGTATGTAGATTCACCATTTTCACACTATTGACTTTCTTTTAGAAATAAATGAAAATTTTGAAAGTATTATCAGAAATAAGCAAGTTCTCTAGTTATACTTACTGACTGCTTTATCAGGGAAAATATTTGTGGCATAAATATTAACATTTGAAGGAACTGGCGACATATCGGCTTCCTTAATAACCATATACTTTTCACCATCACGTTCTTCAAGTTCACCTTTTACGGCCCAAGTTGTACTTACACCCTCTAAAAAAAAAATAAATTATCTTCTGTACGAATTAAAATTATTTACACTAAAAACAACTATGTCTGGAAATAAACTTAAACTATTTCCACTACTTTTCTTATTATCACATTACTGTCAAGATCTTGTCAGAATTGTTTTCCAGTCAAAATTGAAAACATTATTATAAAAATAGAGTTATAAATAACTGACAAGTCTCGTGTCACTATAATCGACCTTTAAGACTAATCACGTAATAAAGGCAACATAAATAATTTAATTTATTATAATGATATTGTTATAACGTGGCGAGTTTAATAGTAATTGTATATAATTAGATGTATCATGGGAAGCAAATTGGATAATAAACTTAATAGAGATGGTAAGAAAAATTTATGGTATTTGGTATTTGATCCACAAGATGATGATTTTATATGTTTTGCCACTATGGCAAAAAAATAGTATCATTGTTATAAAGAATTTATTTTTCTTTTACCCATGCTGATGTTGAAGAATCCTTTCGTGTGTATTTGGAACAGGTTGACGCCTCCATCAAATTTATAATTTCCTTCGAAAATCAAATTGTCGAACATCAGGTCAATTTCCATTTCTAAACTGTCATCGGTCACAGTTGCTCTAGAAAATAAAATAATAATTCCAATAAGATATTCTATGAAATTTTTTTGGAGGTTAGATTTTTAGTAAAAGATAGTATAGTATCAACAAGAGAAATGAATTTTGTAATTGCATGAAAAGTTACACCATTTTCAATTTATATTTTTAACATTGCAGTTCTATATTGATATCGCATATATCAACAAAAAAAATTATAAATCTGTTTCTAATTAGTCTAGAGAAGATTTTGATACCTAAGCAAGAAATCTCTATCCTTTTTACCAAATTTTCCAATTTCCACCTTCCTCTTATTACCTGACTTCTTTGATTTCGCAATTGCTGCTCCCGAAGACTTTGTTGTCTTTTCCCTGTACATTGCCCTTGATGTTGCCGATGTTGTGGTTGACGTGGAATTTGGGGGTCGACAGAGGGTCTATTGGGGGTATCTCCAGGGGTTTGTAACCGTCTTTGATAGCTGGCAAGATACTTTTCATTGATTCCTTTATGCATTCGTTCAAATTGGGGTCGTTTCTTTTGCAAATCTTGAAGAAATCCGCTATAAAAGATAATTAAATTATTAATATATTTGCTGGGTAATTTTAAAAATATTTTTTTTAAAGTAAGAAATATTGGGTAAATATAAAACTTTAGTATATATTTATGATATTAATCTTATCTATAAACATTGCTGTGCCAAAATTTATGCAATTATATTAAAGATATTTAAAAAATAGAAAAGACAAATAAAAATATTATATAAATAATTTACAAATATATAGTTTGTGTTTACAATAAATTTCCATAATGTATTCCATGTATAAGTAAATACAAGACTCTCTATTTCAGTGAAAACAAATCTTGATTTAGTTAGTCACAAAATCCAGACAGCAAATATCAACATAGACTATATTTGCATATCATAATATTATTATAAATAAATAGTCGTTAAGACTAATCTTTAATGGAATGAAAAAAGAGGCGAATTTTATTTACCCAAATTTAGTATGAATGTATTGAAAGACTCACATTGTAATGAACAATTAAAAATATAAAAAAATGGATGGAATTAATATTATTGTTACATGTTTAATTTTACATTTGGAGTTCCTTCTTCACTAATACGACTTAGAATTGTTATTTTTTTTGCATTGCAACAAAAAAAAATTACATGAACCTACATTTTTTACAGCAGCAAATTTTTATATTGCACTAGAACTTACATGTTTTTTTTATTACATACATTATTTTTATTTATCATCGTCAAAATGCTTCTTTCATCGCCAGGAAATAATGATCAAGGCAATGTCAAGGATAAAATTCCGGTCGCGTTTTTATATAACACGTTTATAATTAATAGTACTATTTATAACATTAAAGTGACTAAGAAGAATTGTACATGCATCAAGTTATTGCTGGAATATAAATAGCGAATAAATAAATTTTATTGCTGACGTTCTATTCTGTTTTTGAACTTATAACGATTTCCATTTGTGTCATGGATTGATAATATAATAGACAAGGCTTTATATGATTGTGTCTCAGAAGGTTTTATGAACTTATTGACTTTAGGATCAATTTAAAAGTGAAAGTTTAGAAAAAAAAATAATAGGATCAACAATTTGTATATTAAAATTTGTAAAAGGAATTGATTCGGTATCATATATTTTAGTTACACTATTTTCTTATATACATTGACTATATAAGTGACTTCAATTGACTATATAGATATTAATAAATTCAATTTTGTACGTAATTATTTATAAATTGTAAAATTGAACTCATAATAATTATTTTACCAAAATTTCAATTAAATCAAATCCAATTAAATTAGTAATTATTTGTTTCTCCAAAAAACTCACTTTTTAATAATTAATTTAATAAATATTGCAAATATTTTTACAAAGCATATCTCTTTGTTTTTCTGATATAATATAAAAATATAAAAAAAAAATTTAAAATATTTTCAAAAATGTATATTATCCACTTGTGTATGTTTTTATTAAAAAAACACCATTATCGTCGTAGAATTTTTATCGCAAAAACAGTTTTGCATAAACTGTTATCATGCATATCATAAAATTATTATTTTGTAGAAATGTTTTTAGCATACTATCTTAATTATCTAAAAAACCATACGATAATTTATGTGAAGGCTACAGTTTTAAACATTGCACTATAAATATTTAAAATTATTAAATTTAAATTTTGTTTTTAAATTGTTTAATTGTCAGACAACCAGCTAGATAACTTTTATGATTAGTTCAAGTATTATTTGATTTTACAATATTTTTTTTAATTCAAAGATTTGATTGGTTTCAAATATATAAGAATAATTTTTGTAAAATTTCATTCCAGAGTAAGAAGTCTCATCTCTAGCCTAGCATCGAAATTACTTCATTTTTGCCCATGTTTTCCTAATATTTCATCTACTGATTTATTTTGTTTACTGCATTTTTCTTATAAATTAAATTCAAACTAATCATAAATTGTTCAAGTAAATAATTATTGTTAAAAACTTCCATTATCTAACTGTTGTTTATAAGTAAAATTCCCGCCATGAATATATTCATCTAAAAATACCTGCCAAGTAGGAATATTGTTTATAAATTGTTATTGCATACGTACATAAGTACTTGTATAATTTATAATTTATAATATATAACAATTCATGCGTAATGTTTAATGATCGTTTTTGCTATCGATTATTTATTTATTGATCGATGGAATGTTTCAGAACAAAAACAGGATAAAAAAATTAAATTAGACTTACGATTGATGAACTAGTTGCTTACAATTGCGAAACCTTTTTTTATTCTTTGACGTAGAATTTTGTTATAATGTATTATTATTATAATTGTATTAGTAATCCAAATCCTTACATCTGAATTATCATATAAATTTTTAAAAATGAAAATCTAGCAAAGTAATATATATGAAGATTAAATGTGTTTGTATATAATAAATAATGTAGATTATTAAAATGCTTTAAAAGGTAATACAGAGGCAATATAAATTGTTCAGGAGTTGTTAAATTGTAGAATTTTTTTTAGCAAAATACCTTTAAAAGTAGTATTTAATTAATTTATTACCTGTGTGTATACTTTTTGATTTCAATAAAATATTACTTCTTAAATTACTAAACGATTGAATCAATTTTTATAAAATTTTGTATGATTTTTTTAATTCGATTATGGTTTAGATTCACAATACAATTTGATAAATAACTTATTTTTAGATAATAGTTTCTCCAATATTAAAGACAATTAAGATCTATTTTGAGTTAGTTGTGATATATGATAAAAAGCCAATGATTTCTGATTTATGATTTATTAACAAAATTTGTATTTGTAGTTGATTTCTGGCTCTATTTTATATATAAATTATACAACCATAGGTACAATATTTAAAATTATATAATTACATGTTTTTCTTAAAAAATCTTTATTTGTTCATCATTGATTAAAAATTGTGTATTCGTTATTAGTTTCTGCAATAAATCATGGACCCAAGTTTATATATAAATCATAATATTTTTATAAACAAATAGTGTAAAACTAAAAATTGGTCATGAAATAATTCATAAAATATTAGGAATGTATATAAGAAAAAAGTTCGTTCAATTAAAACTCGTAGAAATTGAAAGACTCAAATTTTATTTAACTAAATTATTAATATAAATTGAATTAACAAATTGATAACACAGTTCGAATTAATTTTAATATTATAAATAGTTAAAGTTTTAAATTTTAGCTAATTTCCTCATTATTAAAAAACTAAATTTTTGTTAAGATCAATTGTTAATTTTATTTAAATATTTATTTATTTTTAACAAACCGTTTATAATGAATTAAAAATATATATGTTGTAGTTATTATTTCCATGCTTGATGAATGCACTATTTCTTATAAATTATAAAACGCTGTGTGCCAAATATGAAATTATAAAGTTCAAATTAATAAAACTCTATAAGCTGCCTTAAAATACAATTTATATTGTATTTATGATTGGTTAGAAAATAGTTAGGCATTAAAAAATGGGCAATATGCACTAGCTTATACATCAAATAAATTTATAAGATTAGAGCTTAAAAACTATAAGTACAAGAACGTGTCTATATTATTCACGTAGGGGTGCTTTGGGGTTGATGATTAATTGATATTAAATTTTTGTTAAACGTATTTTGGTTGGTTTTGAAAATATTTTTCTCTACGTGTGACAAATTATAGCATGTTTTGTGCTTAATAAAAGTTAATAATATATAAGTTTAAAAAATATATACAAATCTGTGTCTATTATCTCTACTCACGTAAGGGTGCTTCGGGGTCGACGAGAGCTTTCGCTCGGCAGAGGGCGGTCGCCGCCAAAAGCACAACCATCGCCGTCATTTGTCCCATTGTAAATAAATAATTATTATGAATAGTTTCACGGCAAATCGTAATCTCAATTAGCAATACGATCTGCTTCCTGGTTGCTTTTGCACTGACTCGATCCTTATCGGTTCGACTGGCTTTATAGACTCCCAATCAGCACCATGGGCAGGTTACCCTTGAAAATCTCGACGAGGCAAGGTCACCGCCTCATCTTGGGTATGGATTTATTGTGTGCGTATTAATTTAATTTCAAACTGTACTAGTAAGAGTTTATGTAATTGATCGCAGTATGACCACAGTTTCCCAAAAGGATAGAAATCACATTTTTCGTTATCAAAATCTTGTGAGACCAAATCATTTCTTGGCGATTCTTTGATGATCCATCCACCACTGTCTTTTTTCCTTGATAGTAATTGCGTTTTATACATAAAGATACAAGTAACCAGGCACAGTATTCAGGAATCATATTTTTCAATAAAAGCAATGATTAGTGAAAATTCAATATATCAAGTTTATTTTTTAATTAATCTTATTATAGCCTTAATATAGTCAAGCAAACAAAAAATTAAACAGAAACCAAAGCATAAATATTTTTTAAAATTGTTTAATCAATTTTCATTTAAATGAATATGAATATTTCATTTAAATGAAACCAAATTTAATTAAAATTTTCATTTATTTAAATGCTCTAATGTAGCTAACTAAAATATCACTTATGAGTCATTTGAAATTGTTGTTATTAATATAATGAAATTTATTAAAGCAAACGTCAGCAAAATTAATTTGAAATTTAAATGTGATTAATTTTATATTAACTTTTGCATTGCAGTCGTATGACTAATAGATAACAACTTAAAACCAAACAAAAAATTGATCAGAAATCTTAGTTCAAATGAAATGAAATCAGATTATTATATTTTATAAACAGAAGTATATTTTCGCATGACTTAATAATAATGATTTTATTTTTTACGTTATGCATTAATTATTTAAGTCTGTTATAACAATTTTTTTAATTGGCCATTAATCTTTTCTCGTGTAGTATCGAGAATGAGTCCATATAAAAGCACTTTTAAAAGTATCTATTTACCTAGAAAATAAATCACACTATAATGATTTATTCAAAAAGCTAGATTCTAGTTATAATGAAGTCCGCTAAAATAACATTTATTTATATTTTTAATTTGCTACTACAGGAAAATAATAATCTATTAAAACCAGATGATTCTGGTTATAATGATAAATCTAGACTTCTGCTAAGACAACAAAAAGAAAACTCCACTTTTTTCTCAATATGCAAATTATAAAGTTTTTTTCCAAATTCGCTCTTCACTTCATTAGTAGTATTGAAGTATATTTTTAAAAAACAGTAACAAATATCAAAACGTGTGCTATTTTTAAATCTTACTGTAAAAAAGTAGAGAATTTGCATATCGAGTGCTCAATACTAAACATAAAAATATTATAACTATTATTCTTCTACTACAAATTAGTATTAATTTTTAACTTTTGCTAATAATTTACCATAAATTATTTACTCAATAAAGTTATAGGTGTGAATAAAAATAAAAATGAGAGTCCTTTACCAGGGTAAATGAACTGACTAAAAATGGCAATAGTTGTAATTTCCAAGCAATGAATCTTAATACGTAATTTTAATAACAATATCTTTGTTTGTGAGCGATTTATTAGTGCTAAAAAATTTATATAATGACGTAGGTTCAAATACTTTGTACTCTTCAAATAATTGAGTTTTTTTTCTTAAGACCAGGAATGGAAAATTTTAGTATAGGTGCTCTGATGATCATCAATCTTTTCTATAAAAGCACGTGGTCATCTTCAAAACAATTGTACATTTGTGTACACGTTTTTTATTTCGTGGATTTAATTCGCGAACATTATATGAATAATGTACTACGTCATTAAATATAAAAAAGGTTAATTTATTTCTTTGGACCATTTAATTAATGGGTGATAGACTAAAACTATGATCTGTTTTTTCGGTTTGGGTAATTCTGTTAGAATTGAGGAACGAAAAATTTTAAACTTTGAATTTTTATTAAAGCACATCAAATAAAAAAATAAAAAATTAAGAAAAGAAAAAATAAGTTTCCCGTTTCTTATTAAATCTGTGACGTGATTGCATATCTAATGCATAAATTGTCCAAGTGAATTATTGTAATCAAAATAATAATTATTGTACGATTTCGTGAATGATTCTATAAAAACAACTGTTATATTAAAATTTTGATTACAGTATTAATTAAGTTAATTATTTCTTTACGTAATATCACGCCTTGAATCTGATGTTATCAAATAACAATTTAGTTATGTGAATTACTGAAAATTGCCTTAATTTTAAATTATTTGCTGGCAATGAAATTAAATTGATCAAGTGCAAATTATATAAGAATGGATGGAAAAACTAATAATATAAAAATAGAAGATTAAGGTCCAACGATTGAAATGTAATGAATTTGTTTTTGCGATTTTCAAATACGCCTCCAAAACTTTGTCAGACTCTCAAATGCGAATTATATTAGAGCGCAAATTTCGAACACAATATCTCGATCTCACTAACAATTATTATTGTTTAATGTACAAAAGATTTGTTTCAAATACATAAAAATCTACTGCAGTCACCAAATATTTTGGTGTAACTTGTGAGTCAAAACTTAAATACCTTCACTGATTTGATTTGCGAAGGACAATCTGTATAGCAGTCAAATTGTTATATATTTAAAATATAAAAATAAATATAGATTTAAATATAAATCTCGCCATCGACCTTGCCGCTAAAAACTCAGATTGCCATTTTCTAAAGTATGCACAGGCAGTACGTATATTTTGTTATTGTCTTTAACTGAACTGTAAAAGTCATTATCAATATTTTGAAATAATTTTTGTTTCAGTCTATAAACAATGTCGAATACAAGCACAGATGATGAAGATGATGGAACTATCTTCCGTGAAACTCCAACATGGGAAGAAATAGAAAAATTTAGGCCTAAAGCAAGGAACGATATGCTGATAAGTGGTTGGGATGATCAGGATGAAAATATAGAAGTTGAAAGAAATCCACATGGTACTGTAGGGCTAATAGATTTCATGAAAGTTTTCTAAAAGTATTTACTTAATATTATGTATTTTTGTTATCAGAAACACCAGAAAAAGAAATGCTATGGGCAGCTGAGAGTGGTGAACTTGAAGTAGTTGAAGATCTTTTAAAGAAGCATCCACATTTAATCAATACTCGTGATAAGGATAATTATACACCACTTCATAGGCAAGATTATTTCATTAGTATATTCTTATATTTTTTATTTTGAATTTTATGCAAATTTTCTCTTGTTTTTGTTGACCATCTACGATACAAAAATTTAGAACTAATAATATTCTACTATAGAGCAGCGTACAGTCATAATTTTGATGTGGCTCATGCATTACTACAAGCTGGAGCTGATCCTAATGCAGAAACAGAAATGAAATGGACCCCTTTACACTCTGCTTGTAAATGGAATAATGCTTCAGTTGCTGGTTTATTATTGCAATATGGTGCCAATGTAAATGCACAAAGCAATGGAGGTAAAATATTGTTTATATTATATAAATTTGTAAATAAGAAACAAACTTGTTAAGTTGATGAAATTTTATTTTTAGGTCAGACACCACTCCATGTTGCCTCTAGTTCCTCAGATTGTAGAGAAGTGCTAACAATATTACTTCTAACTGAAGGAATCAAGCCAAATATCTTGAATTCATCAAATGAGACTGCATTTGATATTGCAAAACGCTCCGGCAAATATTATTACCTTTTTGATATAGCTCATGATGCTCTTAATTATGAAGATTTATATTAATGCCTGTGATTCCTCAACCTGCCAATTGTTAATAACATACGACAAAATAATATAAGATTAGCAAAATACAAATTTACAAATTAACTATTTGTATTTAACCTACTTCTACAATTGTTGTGTCGAGAATTCCCCAAAGGGTAACTTCACCTCTACAAGCACTTAGGATTTCATTCTTTTTAGGATGTGAAACCAAAGTAGGAATGACAGATTTAATTGAACTTTCTTCTCGATGGAGTTTCTTAATCTCCTTACTGCTCAAGAGATCCCATATTATGATGGACCCCTCTGTTGTACCACTAATTATAAAGTTATCTGAATACATAATTGCACACTCTACAGCAAAATCCTGTGTGTTGTGACCAACATACCTATGTAGATAAAAAATATATGTGATAATTTTTAATCAGTCTTTTTTTCATAATTTATTTATATAGTTACTCTGATAGTAATTCCCCACTACTTTTATCCATAAGTCTTAAAGTGCTATCAGCACATGCAGCAAGGTAGCATTGATCGTCTCTTGTGATTTCAATATGTGTTATAGATTCTGAAAAGAAAAGGCTTGAGTATAAATAACACCATTGCAAAAACAAAACCACGTACTTCCTATGCAATCTGTTATTAATTCACCGGCTCTGAGATCATATTTTCTAATTCTACCATCTAAGGATGCACTAATTATCTCATGATCAGAAACCACCAAGCTGGATATTGAATCCTTGGCTTCTTTTAAAACCTGTATTATTGAAATTATCAGCAAAATTTAGTACTCTCTGTTATAACTCTAACAAGTAATACAAACCTGAACTGGTTGTTGACGTCGAGACTTTAAATCCCAACACATAACGGTATTATCATGAGAACCTGATATGGCTAATGTAGATTCTTCATTGAACCTTAAAGAGCAACAATTTAATATTATGATTTAAATTTGTGGGAATGAATGTATATATTTGTTCATACTTTACACAAGATACACTACTTGCATGTCCTCTTAGCCTTCGTGTTGGAAGGCCAGATGCAACATCCCATAAAATAACTGATTTATCAGAGCTGCCGGATAGGATCTGTGAACTATCACATGATCCAGCAGCATCAAGAACTTCATTAGCGTGACCTCCATAAGTTTTAAGTAACAATGACTTATGAACATTCCAAAGTTTTAATTTTTTATCAGCTCCACATGTTATGCAATATGTACCATCAACTAGAAAAAAACATATTTTTACTTGAGAGTTTTTGATTGAGAATTATTTTAATGATGTTACTGTTGTATCGAACTGCACGAATAGCACCCTGTTTACAGTCTATAGTGTTTAAAGGAACTAAAGAATCAATATCCATTTTAATAAAAGATAATGGATGATTTTATTAATGTTCAGTGTATATAATGTTCAATTTTGTGTTTCATATTCTAGTAGCAGCAGTGCAAAGTGTAGAAGTAAATAATTTTGTATTTAAAAAATTAGATTATAATCAAGTTTGCTAATTTGCTAGGATATATTTTGCTATAAAATGTAATATTAATTTTTTTTTTATCTCTTTAAATTTGTATATAGTTGTAGAACTAAATTTGACAGTATAAAATTCAAATATTTGATAACCTCACTAAAATTGTTAGGTTGTCAGCGTGCATTCGCAAAAAGACAGTGACACCAACATAAAAACAATATTCGGATTTGGCTGCTGTCAATTTAAAAACAAAAGTATCGACAACCTGCCATTTGTTACATTCATACTTTGTCAAAAGTGTTAGTGCAATTTTATTTATTTTATTTTGAGTTTATGTGAAACCCATTCAAAAATGTTTAATAGAATAATACGCTCTTTAAACAAAACCGTAAGTAAAGGAATATATCTATTACTATTGCATATATCTCTTACTACATGTAATTTAATAATTATTATTTTAATTCCAGAACAACTTACAAAAACTATGCACTAGAAATTTTAACATGGTGCCCATTGTGGTAGAGCAAACAGGCCGAGGAGAGCGAGCTTATGATATATTTTCTAGACTTCTAAAAGAAAGAATAATTTGTGTAATGGGGCCAGTTCATGACGATATGAGTTCTTTAGTAGTAGCGCAATTACTTTTCCTTCAGGTCTATAATTAATTAAGCATGTTCTATAAGTCTTGAAAACAGGGGAAAATAAAGTTTGGTCTTTCAGTCAGAAAGCAGTACAAAACCTATTCACATGTATATTAACTCACCTGGAGGATCAGTGACTGCTGGTTTAGGGATATATGATACAATGCAATATGTTAAGCCGCCAATTGCTACTTGGTAAGCTTTATTACTAACAATATTTTGTTTTTTTAAAACTTCCTAAAACAAGTTTCATATAAAAGCTTTCTCGATAAAATCCATGAATTAGTAATTATGCAAGGGCTGCATTCTAAACAATAGAATTTAATAATGAAATACAAAATGTTTCACCTCTATTCAGGTGTGTAGGACAAGCCTGTTCAATGGGTTCTCTTCTGTTAGCCGCTGGTGCACCAGGTATGAGACATGCTCTTCCGCATTCTCGAATCATGATACACCAGCCATCTGGTGGTGCTACTGTAAGTTTAGACGCTATAAATAAATCCACATATTTTATTTCGCCCTAAAAATATATAATTAATTTATTAAGGGCCAAGCTACAGATATTCAAATCCATGCTGAAGAGATAATAAAATTAAAGAAACAATTGACATTAATATATGCAAAGCATACTGGCCAAGATACTGAGCTTTTGCATAGCAAAATGGAACGTGATACATTTTTATCTCCGGATGAAGCGAAGGCAATGGGTTTAATAGATCAAGTTTTAGTGCATGCGCCTTCCACGATTACAAAGGGAAGTGCACCAAGTACAGATGCTCCAAATCCTATTATTATGCCTAAAGATAAAGAACCTTCTATTGGAACAGAAATTACTACATAATTAGAAACCTAATATTATACAATGATATTAAAATAATTTGTATATACATTTTTATATGAAATTATTTATATTACAAATAGTTTATAAAATATATTTTATGCAAATTATGGAAACCACATTCAGGATATTTGAATTGACTAACTGAGTAAAGTACTATTTTTATAGTTTTTGTATATCATTATTAAATTTTATTGTCTAATATGCAGCTATTACATAATTACAGATTCATGGATTGAACATACAATTATAAACAAATATCTCAAAATTTCAATTACATCATAAAATTTATATAATGGCAAAAGCTTTGATATGAAACTTTAGAAAAAATAATTTGATGAACACTTTGCAGTTTTTTAATCAATGAAACTTGGGAAAACGAATTTTATACACACTTCGACATTTTTTAATGGGTAATTAAAGTTTTTGAACAGATTTTATAATGTGAAATTAATATTCAATGAGAGTAACGATAGACGGTTTCGAAAAATAGTATTAAAATACATTGTAATAATTGATTTATATTATTTTCTAAATTCGCGCCAACTATCGAATGCTGTCATGTTACTGAATTTCAAATAGATTTTAAATTAGTTTCATTTGGTAACACATTTCATTATGTAACTAGGTTGGAATTATGAAATTTGGAAAAACATTTGCTGGTCGACACTCCGAAAAGATATATGTTGGTGGAATGTAGCTGAGTCGACGTCGCATGTGAGTAATTTTTTGTTATATAGTCTTTATTTCATGTTATTTGGATTTATTTATTAATAGTTTATATATGATATTCATATTTTATTTGCTATTATAATTTTAACTTAAAAATATTTGGGATAGTATAACGCGTGATAGATATAGTACGTTCGTATGAAAATAATACTTCTTGAGCGGATTGCCACGATAAATGTACAAATACAAATGCATATATTTTTTCGTTATAGTTAAATTTTATTTTTGAAATTTTTTGATCTTCAATTACAAAATTTGAGTCATTGATCGAGGCTACTAAACGTTGCGCCACATTTTCGAGGAAATCGTACGGTTCTTTTTGAGAAAAAACAAAATAAATTTTATATGTGACTTATATGCGCTTATGTCGTGTTGTTTAATAACGACATAAAGTAATTATTCCTCTTTTTGTCACAAATTATATGCAATATAATTATAATTTTTACGACCAATTATGTTAAATTGATCTGAGTAACACTGGGATACTATTTCGGGCCAGTGATGGCAAAGGGTAAGGGAAATATCCTTTCATTGCAATTTAATGACCATTTGTAGTTTTACTAAAATTTTGTGTAACTACACAATATTTCAATACTTCTAGTATAATTTCAAGCATTTAAACTGCTTTATTACAATTTATTTCAAAATTTTCATCAGGTTTCGCACAAGAGAAAATAATATGCTTTCGTAAGAAAATTCGACTTGCTATTTTTTTGTTTCAAGTCATTTAAATCATTTGAGATACATATTGTGCGAGTGTGTATGTAAGCCTATTTTCGACTTTTTGTTGACGTTTTCTCCAAAATTTTTGAACCAATTTAAAAAAATTAAAAGCCATTTGATGGCTGAAATGAACACTTAAATTTAAATAGCTAAATTTCACTTCATCTTGATTATTTACACATATCCAGATGATATTTCAACTTGTCTTACTTTACTTGCACTGATTTACTTTAACGTTTTATCATTTAAATTTTACAAATCTTGCTTCAAAATACTTCCTATTGTTGTAATAAATTCCGACGTTTATTGAGCAGCTATCCGTATAACAGTTAAATGATTATTGTTTATATGGTGCAAAGTAAAAAACTTTGTTTTATAAATAAATATTTCGTTTCGTCCCCGGCCATGCATTTGGCCATCTATTACCTCACCGGCGACATAGTTGCCGAAGAAGTCGACAACGAGTAACCAGAAAAAACAAAACAAAATAGCCCCTCCGAAAGAAATCCGACCATTATATAATACTTTTTGCATCATAAAATGTGGCCCGGAACAAAAAAGTAACAGGCGTAATAACCAATAAATCTTTATTAATAATAATAAAATATAATAATAATAAATAATAAAAAGCGTACACGTATAGTACCGTTAAAGAATTCCTTCCTAAGTGTCTTCTCTTATGCCTACCATATTATAATGCCCTTAGGTCTTTCGAATCAAGGATATTTTGCTTTTGATTCGATGTTGATCAATACACTTGCCGGATCGATTTGGGACAGTAGACCCGCTTATTATTTTTGGGATCATCTTAAAAATGCAAATCAATTGAAA